ATATTGAAATTTGTATATACTTTCATTGTAACGAATTTGATTCTCAAAATCTGGAAATATTTCGATATCCTTGCGATCACTGATATATGTTTTCACTAAAATTTGAATATTTATTCGTAGTGGTTTGATTGAAGCAACTTAGAAGTAGTGTCATAAAAGAAACGATCGAGTTTGTACAGAAATATTTGACGATTGTCCACCAGTGACGGTCAGTCAGTTGTTCAATGGACAACAAAAAGATGGTCACAAGACTTGGTGATTCTTCCACAGTTTACCGACATATCGACTTTAGTCGGAATACTTTGAATGTTGATACTCTATCACTTTCTCAACATTCAACCATGATTCGATCATTCCTGCTTGCTGACCACTGGTAACAATAACTTTGCCAATGAGAAAGTGGGGGTACAGTTTGCGAAAATGTTTCCAAACGTTTAACTGAATGATTTCTGAAATTACTCAACAGTTCATATACAGGCGAAAAATATTGTTTCCAACAAGATCGCTATTCAAGTTGCAGACAGAATAAATCTGACACCTGAAGAAGAATGTTTTAGCAAATCACTTTAATTTGCATCCAGATATGTGAATTCGACACCTATGAAATATATATTTGAAGCAACGATCTAACTAGTGAACGGTTTTTTAATTATGAAATCAATGTACATCTGTGACAGACTTCAACCGGTAAGATATCGGTAGCAAATAAGGCGTGCGTATATCTATAAAGCTGGAGGATTCGGTGGCATGAATGACAGACAATATCATTGTTTGAATCCAATAATTGAAATAAGAGAAAATGACACACAAATAAGACAGTTCACAAATATTAATAAAGACTGAGCTTAATGGAAAGTTATGTTCGAAAAATTGCGTATATATTCGGCTATTTGGGTTAACCAGTTATTTTTTCTGTTACTTATCATCAACTACGTGCACATTTTTTATTTACTGTCGTACATATTGTGTTTATGCAATCTATACAATGACCTTGATGATCGCTAGTCACTGTACAGACACATCAGCCTCTCAATTACCAGCCCCACGGAAATAGAGGAAAAACAACGACTTATGAGTCAGACAGACAGATCAGATCAGATCGTTTTTTTTTATTATTTCAATCATGCCTTTATATACATGCAAAATCAGACTGCATCGTAAACCAATTAGAAAACTGACATCAATACAAAATAACAGTAATAGTGAGTGTGAACTGGGGTAACGCATAGCAGTCAATTAACTATAGTTCATAAATGAGAAATGATATAACAACAGTTAATGCCTCAAACAAGAGTATAGGATAGAGCAACGTCACAATAATAGGAATAAAATCCTTACTTTGTATACAACCAAAAATAATGAATCTTAAGCGGAAAAAACAGTTCTAGAAGATAGTCAATCTTCTTTAATTGCCCGCCATAACACCTCCCCCCTTTTTTTTTGAAAAAAAATAAATATCATCGGTAAGATTTATCATAGAGGTTCACTCTGATCCTGTTTGGTTTCCGTCGAATTCTTTTTGATTTCCTTAGAAATGATGCTGTTCTTGTCTCCACTGCTTTCGTTTTCTGATTGCTTCTGTCAGTCAAATCATGTAACATGTTTAACGTCATCGGAGTACTCAGCTTAACTTCATTCCCGTCATCGCATCTGGACGGTCGGACGTAGTTAGCATGTCTTAGCCATTTCATATTGCTTACTCCGACCTCATAGATAACTCTTCCTCTGTTCATTAGGATAATTCCAGTAACCCACTCCATTGTTTTACGATGAAAATCACGTACCCAAACCTTTTGTCCGGGTAAGAATCTTCTGGGCTTCGCTCCATGCTTCTTGTTGTATTGTATTTCCATTCTGGAATTACGTTCCATAGTCATTGCAAAATTTGGCTTCAAACTATCTAATGGCGTTCTGATTTTTCTTCTAAGCATAGCTTCCGCAGGGGACACTTCACCGACCGTCTCACGATTCGGTGTTGAACGATAAGCAAACAGGAACTTATACAATATCTCTTCTAATCTTCCTTCCCCCTGGGCTTTGAGTAACGCTCTCTTAAAAGTGTCGACGAATCTCTCGACTTGCCCATTTGATTGTGGGTGATACGGAGGGGTTCTGATATGCTTAATGATGTTAAGAGCACAAAATTTCTGGAATTCTGCAGACACGAATTGTGGGCCATTATCGGAGACAAGTACTTCTGGGACTCCGATACAGCTGAATATTTGACGCAGTTTGTCTAGTGTAGCCATGGTTGATGTAGACCTCATACAATGTACTTCCGGCCACTTAGAAAAAGTATCGATGATAATTAAGTAGTGTTTGCCCTTTAGGGGACCAGCGAAGTCTACATGAACTCTCGACCATGGATGTGTCGCTGGTTTCCAGCAGCAAAGTTCGGTTTTTCTATATATCAAGAAGGTGTTGGATATGCCAATGTTGAGCACATGGTGCCAGTAAATGAAAATACAGTTTTTCGAATAGCGAGTATTAGTAAGCCGTTTACCTCATTATTGGTTGGAAGATTATTTGATCAGCACAAGTTAGATCTTGACGAAGATATCCGAGCCTATTTACCTGAGTTTCCAGAGAAAATAGTCGGTAAAACATACGCAAAAATAACTGTTCGATCATTGCTCAATCATACCAGTGGTATTCGTAGTTATAAAAAAAGTTCAGATGAAAATAAACAATCATCGTATCCAGAAATGTTGAATACTGTTCGTTTTAACGATACATTAACTGCTTGTGATATGTTTAAAAATGATGCATTACTTCATGCACCTGGTATTGAATACACCTATAGTACATTTGCATTCACATTATTGTCAGCAGTTATTGAAAAAATTTGTTTAATGAAAGGTAGTTTATTTGATCAACCATTGCCAACTGTTAAAGGTGAATTAAAGTCATCTTGTAATGAAGGAAAAGAACCTAAAAATAATTTACCAAAATGGGCAAGATTTGATAAAAATCTGTTAAGACTTTTTCAATATCTCAATTTGAATCATACCTATTTAGAATATCCAGAGAAGATAATTTCTTCAAGAGCTGCTCAGTATTGTCGTTCAAATAAAGGTCAACTTGTGAACACTCCAACGATTGATAATTCATATAAATGGGCTGGTAGTGGTATTCTTTCTACAGCTAGTGATTTAATTTGTTTAGCTGATCATTTAGCATTTATTTATATGGGTTGGCTTGATTCATATGGGATTGTAAAACAATCTACTTTAAATCAATTATTATGGAAAGTTTCTTGTGTACCACCAGATCGAGGCACATTACCTGGTTTAGGTTGGTTTTTAGCCAGGCGTTCAGGTGATCCAGCAACTGAAGAAAATGGCTATCCAGATCGATTATATGCATTACATACAGGTGGTGCAGTGGGCGGGACCACTGTTCTCTTGCTTAGTCTTCCCTTGTTAAATAATATTCATAATGATCATGTTCCCAGTAAGACAAATCAAGCAAACACTATTACTGCCAAAGAGAGTAATTCTTTCTTATCAATTCAAAAAATCTATCCCATCCCCGTCGCCAGTTTATTGTGTTTGTGCAATCTATACAATGACCTTGATGATCGCTAATCACTGTACAGACACGTCAGCCTCTCAATTACCAGCCCCACGGAAATAGAGGAAAAACAACGACTTATGAGTCAGACAGACAGATCAGATCAGATCGTTTTTTTTATTATTTCAATCATGCCTTTATATACATGCAAAATCAGACTGCATCGTAAACCAATTAGAAAACTGACATCAATACAAAATAACAGTAATAGTGAGTGTGAACTGGGGTAACGCATAGCAGTCAATTAACTATAGTTCATAAATGAGAAATGATATAACAACAGTTAATGCCTCAAACAAGAGTATAGGAAAAGAGCAACGTCACAATAATAGGAATAAAATCCTTACTTTGTATACAACCAAAAATAATGAATCTTAAGCGGAAAAAACAGTTCTAGAAGATAGTCAATCTTCTTTAAGTGCCCGCCATAACACCTCCCCCCTTTTTTTTTGAAAAAAAATAAATATCATCGGTAAGATTTATCATAGGGGTTCACTCTGATCCTGTTTGGTTTCCGTCGAATTCTTTTTGATTTCCTTAGAAATGATGCTGTTCTTGTCTCCACTGCTTTCGTTTTCTGATTGCTTCTGTCAGTCAAATCAAGTAACATGTTTAACGTCATCGGAGTACTCAGCTTAACTTCATTCCCGTCATCGCATCTGGACGGTCGGATGTGGTTAGCATGTCTTAGCCATTTCATATTGCTTACTCCGACCTCATAGATAACTCTTCCTCTGTTCCTTAGAATAATTCCAGGAACCCACTCCATTGTTTTACGATGAAAATCACGTACCCAAACCTTTTGTCCGGGTAAGAATCTTCTGGGCTTCGCTCCATGCTTCTTGTTGTATTGTATTTCCATTCTGGAATTACGTTCCATAGTCATTGCAAAATTTGGCTTCAAACTATCTAATGGCGTTCTGATTTTTCTTCTAAGCATAGCTTCCTCAGGGGACACTTCACCGACCGTCTCACGATTCGGTGTTGAACGATAAGCAAACAGGAACTTATACAATATCTCTTCTAATCTTCCTTCCCCCTGGGCTTTGAGTAACGCTCTCTTAAAAGTGTCGACGAATCTCTCGACTTGTCCATTTGATTGTGGGTGATACGGAGGGGTTCTGATATGCGTAATGCTGTTAAGAGCACAAAACTTCTGGAATTCTGCAGACACGAATTGTGGGCCATTATCGGAGACAAGTACTTCTGGGACTCCGAAACAGCTGAATATTTGACGCAGTTTGTCTAGTGTAGCCATGGTTGATGTAGACCTCATACAATGTACTTCCGGCCACTTAGAAAAAGCATCGATGATAATTAAGTAGTGTTTGCCCTTTAGGGGACCAGCGAAGTCTACATGAACTCTCGACCATGGATGTGTCGCTGGTTTCCAGCAGCAAAGTTCGGTTTTTCTATATATCAAGAAGGTGTTGGATATGCCAATGTTGAGCACATGGTGCCAGTAAATGAAAATACAGTTTTTCGAATAGCGAGTATTAGTAAGCCGTTTACCTCATTATTGGTTGGAAGATTATTTGATCAGCACAAGTTAGATCTTGACGAAGATATCCGAGCCTATTTACCTGAGTTTCCAGAGAAAATAGTCGGTAAAACATACGCAAAAATAACTGTTCGATCATTGCTCAATCATACCAGTGGTATTCGTAGTTATAAAAAAAGTTCAGATGAAAATAAACAATCATCGTATCCAGAAATGTTGAATACTGTTCGTTTTAACGATACATTAACTGCTTGTGATATGTTTAAAAATGATGCATTACTTCATGCACCTGGTATTGAATACACCTATAGTACATTTGCATTCACATTATTGTCAGCAGTTATTGAAAAAATTTGTTTAATGAAAGGTAGTTTATTTGATCAACCATTGCCAACTGTTAAAGGTGAATTAAAGTCATCTTGTAATGAAGGAAAAGAACCTAAAAATAATTTACCAAAATGGGCAAGATTTGATAAAAATCTGTTAAGACTTTTTCAATATCTCAATTTGAATCATACCTATTTAGAATATCCAGAGAAGATAATTTCTTCAAGAGCTGCTCAGTATTGTCGTTCAAATAAAGGTCAACTTGTGAACACTCCAACGATTGATAATTCATATAAATGGGCTGGTAGTGGTATTCTTTCTACAGCTAGTGATTTAATTTGTTTAGCTGATCATTTAGCATTTATTTATATGGGTTGGCTTGATTCATATGGGATTGTAAAACAATCTACTTTAAATCAATTATTATGGAAAGTTTCTTGTGTACCACCAGATCGAGGCACATTACCTGGTTTAGGTTGGTTTTTAGCCAGGCGTTCAGGTGATCCAGCAACTGAAGAAAATGGCTATCCAGATCGATTATATGCATTACATACAGGTGGTGCAGTGGGCGGGACCACTGTTCTCTTGCTTAGTCTTCCCTTGTTAAATAATATTCATAATGATCATGTTCCCAGTAAGACAAATCAAGCAAACACTATTACTGCCAAAGAGAGTAATTCTTTCTTATCAATTCAAAAAATCTATCCCATCCCCGTCGCCAGTTTATTGTGTTTGTGCAATCTATACAATGACCTTGATGATCGCTAATCACTGTACAGACACGTCAGCCTCTCAATTACGACGCTTCAATTGTTATCGATATCATCATGACGTGTATAGGAATATGCTATGAGGTTTTGAAGACACACATGAAGGAGATGTGGATAATGTTTGTATCGGACTGGTTACAGGGAAGCCGATAGTGAAACTCAGTAGTTGAGCGTGTGGCCACTTGTTTGAGTGAGTTCGCTGGAACACACTTTCCAGCATGATGCTAAACAAAGTATCGAACAGGACGCCGTCTATCAGAGAACTCAGCCCAGTTTCACTGGCAGACTGAGAGAAACGTGGACAATAGGCGTGGTGAAACTCACGCGACGCCGTCTCATTTTCACAACGAACACACACTTCATAATCATATCGTTTGCACGTGGCTGTTCAATCACACGAAAATACTACGTTCACCAAAACAGATTGACTATTGCATATTGTATTGGGTTGGTCAGGTTACAATTCTGCTTAATTTTGTACTGGTTTGTGAGACGTAGATGAATATTGCGTGAGATAATCGCACTAATCCCATGAGCCGGCTCTCTGTGTATCAGGTCAAGTGAACCTACTCAAATAAATTCTCATCAACAGCCAGAAAGTGCATTAGTATGAGAACATCATGAGAACTAATAATCAGAATGGTGTGATTCCTAAGCAAATATAATTAGACACGGTTCACTACTGAACTGCTATCCAGATCATATGCTGAACACGAGTATGGTTTTAGATGTTCAAGATAAACTTAACAACGATTGTGGTATTAGTGGATTTGAAGCGTTTTGAGAGATGGTCAAGTGAACCGACTCACATGAACTGTGATTACGCGCGAGAACGGCTGTTCGTGTGAGAACATTGTGAGAAATATTATTCAGAGATTTTCGATTTGTGCGCAAACATACGAGATCAAATATTGACGCTTCAATTGTTATCGATATCATCATGACGTGTATAGGAATATGCTATGAGGTTTTGAAGACACACATGAAGGAGATGTCGATAATATTTGTATCTTACTTGTTATATGGTAGCTGATAATGGACGTCTTTTCGTGCCGTCCTGTGAGTTTTATGTACCTTCTTTAGCTTAACAGCCACCGAATGGTTGTCATTGTCCTGCCAGGCTAGTCCTCCTTACGCGTTCACTATCATTCGTTCCTTTTGACGAAGAAATTTTTTACCTCCTTGTTCGTCGTTCGTTTGTCTGCGTTTTCTTCTTCTTTTTTCACTGTGATTACCTCTCGAAGATCCAGGTGAGCTCTTATGTTTTTCCTTCCAAACTACTCACCGCTTATGCTGTCACTGGAAGGTCATCTTCCATGACTGATCTTGACAAGTAATCCGCTATTACGTTTTCTTTTCCTGGAACATGGCCGATACTGAGGTCGTATTCTTGCGGACGCATCTTCCACCGCGCAAACTTTCTTCGGGGGTCTCTTGATGTTCTCAACCACTGCAAGAGTTCATGGTCAGTCTCAAAGTGAAATCGTCTACCTAAAAGTTACTGTTTCCATTTTTCTACTGCCCAAAGGATTGCTAGGTACTCCTTTTCGATCGTTGAATACTTCTGTTCGGCGGGTGTGAGAACGCGACATGCATATTCCACCACTTTATCAGCCTGACTCAATGCCGCACCTATACCATGATCATTTGCATCTGTGGCCACTGTAAACAGTTTTCCGGGTTCAGGTAGTCGCAGCGTCATCTGACGATCGTCTAGCATGTTTTTGATTCGGCTGAACGCTTGTTCGGCAGCCTCAGTCCATGTAAACTTGGTGTTGCTCAGCAACTTATATAAGGGCGCTGATATTTCGTTGAAATTCTTGACAAACCGACTTTAGAACGCCGCTCTTCCCAGGAACTGTCTCAACTTCCTTTTCGAATTAGGTGCTGCAATATTTTTTATTGTAAGAATTTTCTCTGGTAATGGCTTTATTTCTTCACTCATTTTTACAATACTGTTAGATACCCCCAACACCTCTAGCATATGCCCTCCTATGGTGTGGACAGCTAATGTACATGGTTTAATTGTCTTACATTGCTCTTTGCTTATTAACGATATAGCTGCCCCTGTATCAATCAAACACACTAACTCCCGTTCATTTATGTACACTCTGGCATAAATTGCCCCTCTATCTTCTAGTGCAAGAACCGTCCGAATCCTAGGGTAGAACGAACACACGTTATAATTTTTAAGATATCTTCGTCGTCGACTTCTTGGACAGTTTATCTTCTAATGTCCTGCCTCTCCACAAGCGTAACATTTATCGTTCTTTTTATGATTTACTCGTAATTCTGTTATCTCACGCTCTAACTCCTCAATCTTCTTCTCGAAAGTGCTTATCTCCTGCTTTTCGCACCCGACCGTAGCTACTGTTCGTGTCATCAGCTGACGAGTCACCTTCGCCAGTTCACCGATGTTCATAGGCTGTGCTGCATTTACTAGTCTCAGTTGCTGGGACACGGCGGCAGGCACACCTTCGGTACGTCACTTTATTTTTGATTACCACTTTCTTTAGAAGTTTGGGATTTTTCTGAGTTCACGAATGAGCTTCCTCGCCAATTGTTTTGATTTCCATCTGAGCAATTTATTCACTGTATTCAATTATTTCATGACTTACAACGATGAAATCTCCGACGATCGAATTTTAGCAGCTACTGCCTGTCCCAAGCCCGGATAAAGTAGGAGGGATGGACATGTTGTTGGCGACATCGATCCCTTAAAAACTAACTTGCCAAAAAAAACGCTAACCATAAAAATAATTCAAACCATTTTAACTCTGCCCTGGGAGTTGAATGAAGATATATGACGTCGCGTGATGAAAGTCAAATTCCCTCGGACGTCACGGTGTCGATGCCTCTTCCGACAACCAGAGCAACCATTGTTTTAGGTACATGGAAGGCTCGTACATTGTGAGAGACTATTTCAAGTTGCGGCAGAAATGATAATTTACAACCTCGAGGTGCTCGGCATCAGTGAAACGCATTGGACACAGGTAGGACAACGGAGCCTAGATCCAGGGGAACTACTGTCATACTCTGGTCATGAAGAGTAAAATGCTTCACATACACATGCAGTTGCACTGATGCTGTCCAAACATCCACAAAAGGCACTGATAGGATGGGAATCTCATGGACCCATCCAATGTCATGCACCTACCAATGACAACAATGACGACGTTAAAGGTCAATTCTACGAAAGGCTGCAGTCAATCGTCGACAGATGCTCATCAAAGGAGTTGATCATTGAAATGAGAGACCTTAATGGCAAGGTTGGCATGGACAGCAGTGGATATGAAGACATCATGGGACGACATGGACTGGTTGAAAGGAAAGAAAACGGTGAGAGATTTGCAAACCTATGTGCTTTCAACAAACTGGTCATCGGTGGCACAATATTCCCGCACAAACGCATACACAAAGCCACATGGATTTCATCAAACCACACTACTCAAAACCAAATTGACCACATCTGTATCAACAAAAAGATCAGAAGGACCATGGAGGATGTGAGAACCAGGAGAGGAGCTGAAATATCTTCAGATCGCCATTTACTGGTCGCCGAAATGAAACTGAAACTAAAACAGCACTTGAAAACGGGGCAGACAACATCACAGATGTTTATTACAGCCTTTCTTCGGGATACCGTAAAACTCAATGAATTCAAGTTAGCCCTCACCAATAGGTTCCAGGCCTTTCAGGATCTAATCAATCGAGAGGAAGCAACATTGGAGAAAATTTGGAAAGGGATTAGGGATGCAACCACTTCAACATGTCACGAAGTTCTGGGTCACAAATAGTACCAGCATAAGGAATGGATCTCAGTTGATACTCTTGAAAAAATTGAAGGTTGCAGGAACAAGTGCGCAGCAGTGAATGTCAGCCGAACAAGAGCAGAGAAAGTTAAGGCACAAGCTGAGTACACGGAAGCAAACAGGGAAGTGAAGAAGAGCATCAGAGCTGATAAACGAACATATGTGGAAGATCTAGCAATGATGGCGGAAAAGGCTGCAAGCGAAGGGAACTTGAGAAAATTGCACGAAACAACAAAGAATCTCGCCGGAAACTATAGTAAACCAGAACGACCAGTAAAAATTAAGGAAGGCAAAGTAATCAGCAACACTGAAGAACAGCGAAATAGGTGGGTAGAGCACTTTAAGAAACTCCTGAATCGACCAGCTCCACTGAGCCCACCTAACGTCGGAGCAGCATCCACGGACTTCCCAATTGATCTTGGCCAACCAAAAATTGAAGAGAACATCATCACTCTTTTCTCATTACCAGACAAAGTTTTCAACAGGGTATTGTTAAACAGAATGAAGAACATCGTAGACGCTCAACTTCGAAACCGACAAGCTGGATTTCGTGAGGATCGATTGTGCTCAAACCGAATCGCAACATTACGGATCATTGTGGAACAATCAATTGAATCGAACTCACCACTCTACATCAACTTCATCGACTAAGAAAAAGCATTCGATAGCGTGGATAGGAAAACACTGTGGAGGCTTATTCGAGACTACGGCATGCCTGAGATGATAGACAACATCATACGCAATTCTTATGATGGATTAAACTGCAAAATTGTACACGGAGATCAGCTGACAGACTCGTTCGTGGCGAAGACCGGTGTCAGGAAGTGTGCTTACTTTCTCTTTCTCACGGTGATCGACTGAATTATGAAGACGTAAACATTTGGAGGGAGACACGGTATTCAGTCGACAGCTAGGAAGCAGCTGGACGATCTGGACTTATTAGATGACCTGGCTCTTCTATCGCACACTCTACAAAAAATGCAAGAGAAGACGACTAGTGTAGCAGCAGCCTCAGCAGCAGCAGTAGGTCTCAACAAACATAAAGGAAAAAGCAAAATGCCACACAACATTCACCAAACAAATCACTCTTGATGGAGATGCCTTCGAGGACGTGAAAACCTATAAATATCTGGGCAGCATCATCGACAACCAAGGTGGATCCGATGCAGATGTGAGGGCTCGGGTC